CGACATGAGGGCTTCGAGCGTGAAAATGGCTTTAACAGCGAAAGTTAACTTCAAAACGTGATAGGCGCCCTTCCTCTAGCGCCAAACTGTTGTCAAACGAGAATTAACAACAATATAATCGATATAGATGTGTAATAAACTTAAGATAGAGAGATAAAGGCTTGTATGAGCGGCAAAAGGAGATAGAATTTTTCTGAATATTATTGTACATGTTTCTTGACTGGCCTGGAGAACTGTTTTCTCCTTTTTTATTTATTTACAACATTTATCTAATATGTAATCATTACACAAGAATAGTCAACGGCGGCTAATTGTCATTCATCTTAATAACGTGCCACTTGGCCAGGTGTAATGATGAGTTGTGCTGAGTTGGCACCGCCTTGTGGTGTCGGTCTAGCGAGTCATAGATATCGGTTCGAGCAGTTATAACCGATATGTCGTATCCGACATGCAATAACCGACATGTCATAACCGACGTGAGATATCGGTCAATCGACGACGATGTCGGTTCTTAACGAATTTTACCCGACAAGTGATTGCCTTGAAATTAACGTCAGAACCTTGAGATCTGTTAAGGCACCACCTACTCCATACGACTTCAATCATTCTTCTACTGAACATAATCAAGTGGTCAACGTCGCCTAATTCGGTTTACTGAAAATGATGTCAACAAATGGGATGTTATTGAAATTTTTAATGGAATATGAGCTAAAATATAATTATTAAAGATGATTTTCATTTAAAAACAGTATAATCATGAATTTGAATTATTGGTACTTAAAAACATGTTGATGGATTTCAATAATTTCAATAATTTCTCTTTAAAATCTCGAAATCTTAAAAAAGCCTTAAAATGTCTTTTAAAATACATAATCCATATTTAAAGCGTAATACTAAGGAACTAAAACGAATTAATGATAATTTTTGTTGTCTATTAAAAGGTCAAATTTCATACACAATATATTGATTTGCGGTCAAATTTCACTTGAAAAGTTGTGTATAAAAAAATTCAAATAAGTTCGGCTTTTTTTTGGAAATTTATTTGAATACAAAAAATTTAAAGTAATTAAATATGAAAGTTAATTGTTTAATTGTATATTTATTACAAAATAATATGTATAAATGTAATTATTAAACATAAAGTAACTCATGGTCTTCGTAAAAAGGTCAATATTAGGAAAAACAAAAAAAGTTATTCCTAGTCTAGAAAATGTTGGTCAAAATACCACCTTTTTTAAAGAAAATAAATATTAATCAGTCAACTGAATTTTATGGTAAAAAATTAAATGTGCAAATAAATTCGGAGATTTCCTTTTAGTCCATTATTATTATTATTATTATTATTATTATTATTATTATTATTATTATTATTATTATTATTATTATTATTATTATTATTATTATTATTATTATTATTATTATT